TAATGAGAATAACGCACACCTGAGTGAGTCAGTTTAGTTTCATAATTAAACAACATATTGATGAATAAATGGCTGCAGAACTCGCTGGGCTCGTTCCGCAGAGGTCCATCCATAAGTTCCGCAACAATTCACTCATTTGTACTTGAATAACTTGTCACATTATGTTACTAGTTTGGTAAAGTTACATTACTAATTCCTGGTGAAAGGCAAAGTGACAAAAAGTGAATAATCATAATCTTACCAATTTTGACTTTATATAATAAGTTATTGTTCAAGTACAAATAAGTGGATTATTGCGGAACTTATGGGTAGACTTCCGCAGCCATCTACTCACCAATATACTGTTGAAATATGCAAATAAGACACTCACCTGAAACTTGTAGTTTTTGAACTAATGAGAATAACTTACATTTGAGTGAGTCAGGTTAGTATCGTACTTGAACAACGTAATAGTAAATAGATAAAGTATCACTTTAGACGCTTCATATGAGTGGATAAAACTGCCATTATTTGATGATTGTGGATAAAAGAGTACTTTTAATCCTCGGGAAATAAAGTAAAAATTTAATCCCCGGGAAATAAAGTGAAATTTAATTCCGGGGATTAACAGACCCACTTTACTCCCTTGAAACAGTGCATAAATGTTACACAACAATAATTACCCACGCAAGTTAGTAAATAGGGTAATAGACAATATAAACATAAAACCAATAATCCTAAATCTAATAATAACAGAACAATTAACACATATCACACACAGTCCGGCCCGAGTCCACCAACTAAGTAGACCTTTCCGACTTCCACCGAATACCGAGGTAGGCCTTCTCTCTGAAATACCGACTGGTACCTGTTTCACCGCTACGCGAGTAAGTTATTTTTCATTATTACTTGGTTGGTAAATTATATTTTTGTTTTTACTGTCACGGTTCACTTGGACGGACAGAGTTTAAGATTCTATAGACTATCACGGTTTATTTGTACGGATAGTTTTCGCTAAAATATTTATTTTACAAAGTAAAGTTCTATAAACTATCACGGTTTATGTGTACGGATAGTTTTCTCTTAGATATTATTTATACTGTCACGGTTCATGTGTGCGGACAGGGCTTTATTTCCACCGCCGTTGCGATTGATTTTAACCGATTTAAGGTTACCGTATTGACCAATCAAGTAGTAAATCCATGTCTGTATCCGAAATGTCTTACTTAAGTGTGAAACGGGTACATCAGTATTCAAACTAGTTAAAACCGTTAAGATCTAACCGCTTTTGTATTGCATGATCGCTTCTTATTTTCTGTTATTCACCGCTTGCTTATAAACCGCCCGTTATCATTAATCTACACGCACGCACACATACACATTTTCACTCTCTCCATTGCACGCCTGCTTCATTCACTCTATTCACTCTGCTCAAGGAATGTTATATTTTACTATAGGAATTGCCTTATTGACATATATTTATAGCAATAAATACCAGAACTTAATCGTGATTTCATGTGTCTTCTTTTGGAGTTTTCTGGAGGATTTACAGGAGGTATAGAAGAAATAACTTCCAGCATCTGATTCGACCCCTGATTTGTAACAAGCTACCTGGTGCACTTGGCCCTCAACCACAATAATCCTGAGGGTGGCGCCCGAGATAACCGTTAAAGCAAGAAAAGGAAAAACCGAAAGGGCGCTACAAAATTTCCCTTCATTTAAGGCCTCTCTAATAATAATTAAAAACAATATCGAGACGAAACATCCTAACTGCAAATTTAACTAGCCTTTCAAAGTGTCAAAACAACTAAAACTTTGTATTTCAAATTAAAAGTTAAAACTCCTACAGATTTTAATTCAAATTTGTTGTACAAAAGTTCTTGTTATTATTTCAACAAATATTATATAGCCGCAACTAAATAATACTCAGAGACTCAACTTTACCAACACCGGTATGATTTATAATAATCTCAACAAAAATGGAAAAAACTGCCCTGGCTCAACATCATTGTTCTCCTAAGTCCTAATCATAAGTTCAACTTTCAAGAGACCTCAATCTTGCGCCAAGAAAAGGGGTCTTGATTCACATATTTCTCAATGATACAGTAAACAGTGGAACCGATCTGCAGGGTTTGAACCTTCATTATAGTTACTACTTGCTGAATATATGTATATAATGTATTAAATCACATAGCACGGTTATAGATGGTATATGTTATATGTTTTTATTCAGCATTAAGCATGTGATGGCTTTGATTGTTGATTTGTTTAACATTTGTTTGCAAAATGGGGAATTTCCTAGCATGTGGAAGACCTCCATTGTTAGGTCACTGCCAAAGACCCAAAAAATAAAAATATTATCCGAATTGTGACTCATATCCCTGCAGCCAATTTTGGCCAAAATGATAGAGCAGATAGTTAGCGAAATGATGAAGGAATTTATTTCTGAGCATGGTATTCTTCCGAGTGTACAGTCCGGCTTTAGGGTAGGTAAGACATAGTATGGCGACCGCACTCAATAAGATCTCAACTGACATCGCGAAGCATATGGATGATTCCAGGGCATCTTGCTTGGTCCTACTAGACTATACAGCAAGACATTTGATCTAAAGGTCCACCAATAAGTTCCGCAACAATTCATTCATTTGTACTTGAATAACTTGTCACATTATGTTACTAGTTTGGTAAAGTAACATTACTAATTCTTGTTGAGAGGCAAATTGACAAAAAGTGAATAGGTAATCATAATCTTACAAATTTTGACTTTATATGATAAGTTACTGTTCAAGTACAAATAAGTGGATTGTTGCGGAACTTATATGTGGACCTCTGCGGGACGAGCGCAGCGAGTTCCGCAGCCATCTATTCATTAATACGTTGTTCAAGTACGATACTAACCTGACTCACTCAAATGTCAGTTATTCTTATAAGTTCAAAAACTACAAGTGTCAGGTGAGTGTCTTATTTAAATAGTTCAATAGTATATTGGTGAGTAGGTGGCTGCGGAACTCGCGAGTCCTGCAGCCATCTACTCACCAATATACTGTTGAACTATTCAAATAAGACACTCACCTGAAACGTGTAGTTTTTGAACTAATAAGAATAACTCATATTTGAGTGAGTCAGGTAAGTATCGTATTTAAACAACATATTGGTGAATAGATGGCTGGGTCCACCCATAAGTTCCGCAACAATTCACTCGTTTGTATTTGAATAACTTGTCACAATATATTACTAGTTTGGTAAAGTTACATTACTAATTCCTGTTGAAAGGCGAATTGACAAAAAGTGGATAATCTTACAAATTCCGACTTTATATAAATTATTTTCCAAGTACAATTAAGTGGATTATTGCGGAACTTATGGATGGACCTCTGCGGGACGAGCGCAGCGAGTTCCGCAGCCATCTAATCACCAATATACTGTTGAATTGTTCAAGTAAGACATTTACCTGAAACGTGTAATTATTAAACTAATGAGAATAACGTACATTTGAATAGAGGTCCACCCATATGTTCCGCAACAATTCACTCATTTGTACTTGAATAACTTGTCACATTATCTTACTAGTTCGATAAAGTAACATTACTCACTAATTCCTGTTGGAAGGCAAATTGACAAAAAGTGGATAATCTTACAAATTCTGACAAATAAGTGGATTGTTGCGGAACTTATCGGTGGACCTCTGTGGGACGAGCGCAGCGAGTTCCTCAGCCACCTACTCACCAAAATACTATTGAACTATTTAAATAAGACACTCACCTGACACTTGTAGTTTTTGAACTAATGAGAATAACTGACATTTGAGTGAGTCAGGTTAGTATCGTACTTGAACAACGTATTAATGAATAGATGGCTGCGGAACTCGCTGCGCTCGTCCCGCAGAGGTCCACCCATAAGTTCCGCAATAATCCATACATTTGTACTTGAATAACTTGTCACATTATGTTACTAGTTTGATAAAGTAACATTACTAATGTTAATCTTACAAATTTTGACTTTATAAGTATAATAAGTTATTGTTCAAGTACAAGTTACTACGATACTACTACTACTGCTAAAACGATCAAATTTCAAATTTTTTTATGTTGAGATTTTGTGTCCTAATGGTGTTTTGGAACCCCCCGAACTGAATGTGTTACATCTGCTCTAAATATTCAACATTGATAATTTTCTGCTAGAAAATCCTGTAGATTCTGAAATTTTACATGAACCCTTATTCCTGCTTCTTTTGCATAAAACGAAGTGCATTATCAAGCATTGAAGCATTACAACAAATCCTGATGGTAGATATGCTTATGCATTAACAATAAGGCACTTTTAACAAATGCTTGTTTATTGTTACTATGGGTGATATTTTATCGTTTTCCTTTCATTTAATTTATTGTGGAGATTACTAAGACCTACTAAAAATTTATTTCAGATATTTGGAAAAAAACTACCACTCACAATCCTATACAAAGTCACTAGAAGCTGTAAGGCAGACGAGATACTTTTGTTCCGAAATCAAAACAATCGTCAACCTAAGCAATAAGATTTTCGGATTCAAATTCTTTTTCCTGAATTTAGCCTGTTGCTTACAGCTCTTGGCTTCTGGATGTAAATATATGCAATTCACAAAAATCAGCGCCAGCGTTTACAGAACTTACCTCATGTTATTATACTGTGCGACAGCTGTTGTAAGTTGAACAAAAAATGTAGGTAATTCCATTCAAAACTTACTTTTTCAGATCTCAGTACTGACTATAACTTTATGGTGTCAAATATCTCTGAATTCATCGAAGAAACTGGTTAAGTGTTGTCACGAATTGCAGGAAGGATTGTGTGTTTTTTCAGAAAGAAGGCAAGAGTTGCAGGATCTTGTAGATTATCTCACGTATTGTAAGGCAGAATACGTTGCTTGTAATATTTATGTAATTTGTAAACCTCCAATTGTATCGCAACTCAGTACAACTTTGAATTACTACATATTGTTGTATCAAATTTTTTTTCTCTAGGTATAGGTGGCAACAAAAACCTTAAATTTTAGGAGTTTTAATCAAATATCTTTATAAATAATAATAATTAATGAATATCATAGAAACATGAAAACTTAACTAATACTCTATATTTTCAGTACATTTCAATTTATATTTCTTATTTAAGCTTATTGTCAGAGGTTATAATATAATATACATAATTTAGGCTTCTCAACTAATTGTTTTTAGAAATTTAATTATTTTTTGTATTGCAATTTGTAGGTGTCATGTGTGGTGCCTTGAATAAAACTGAAAAATGTTTTGAGTTGTATTATTTTTTAAATTTTAAATATTCAATGATACTACCACTACCTACTTCTTGATAAAGTTGCACAGACTCAAAATATCTAATAAATAATATTTTAACCAGTCTTTTGCTTGTAAAATTATTAAACTTTTAAATATTATTACTAAACTAAACTAGAACCCTGTACAAAAACATGCTAAGTAAATATAAAAAAACTATTTTTGTGTATCTAAACATAAAAATACATGAAAATCTAATTAAATTTAATAATACATAATTATAATTGATGGAATAAAGAGTTATGCATTTAAATTAAAATTACATACTATTATAAATAAAGGATAATCCAAGGATAAGTCAAATATGTAAAAAAAATATTGCGTTGAGAAATTGCTTATCACATATACTTCAACTATTATCCTGTTAATGTTAATTTTTATAAAAATAATACCTATGGCAACAATGCAATTATTAAACTTTAAACTTGAAACTTTAACAGCGCACAGATGGAAATGTTCTATATTAAATCATTTCAAAAAGTTAAAGCTGGCATACAAAAAAAAAATGGTATAATACTTAATACCTTTTCTTCAAATTATCTAGCTTTTAAAATTTGGATTATCGAGACCTTTCACACCATTAGTTCCAGGTTTAACTCCATTCAATATGTCTTGAACTTCTTGAGTTGTCTTTCCTTTGGTTTCTGGCATTGATATGTAGACGAACAGCGTTCCTACCAAAGATATGCCGGCGAAAATGTAAAATGTGATATCACCTACAAAAACAAAAGAAGGGTACTTATAAAGTATTTTCAATTAAAGGAAACAACACTCACCTCCTATAGCAGTAACTAAATTATTATAAAATCTAGTTATAATGAACGCTAAAAACCAATTAAATGTTGCTGCCGCAGAACCTGCAGAAGATTTTATTTCTGGAGGCATAATTTCAGCAGAGGCCATCCACGGAATGGGTCCGAATCCAAGTGAGAATACCGTGATGAATACCACAAGACAAACGATTGGTAAGAATCCGATTTTGTTTAGGGTATCTTGATCGACAAGATTGTGGTTTTTGATCGTGAAGAAAACTCCCAAAATTGCGCCAGACAGAGCCATGAAGAAAGAAGAACTCATTAGTAGGATTTTTCTTCCGAATTTGTCCACTACCAGTGACGAAATGAATGTTGCTACAACTTGTACGATGCCAACACCTGAAATAATTATTAGTTTTCTTTATTAATTGATGATTTCTATTTTTATATTTATAGTAAAAGTCCAAACCAAAAAAGTGTCTCTGATCAAACAAAGACCGATAGTGACAGAAGTGCTGGAATATGGATTACGGAGTTTTTTGGTCTATCCACCTTTTACAAATAAAACGATGAAATTTCAATTTTTTTTTGTTGAGATTTTGTGTCTTAATACTCTTTTGGGATCCCTCAAACTCCATACAGTAAATTATTCTGAAATTTGCAGCCGGAATCTATGAAAAAAGGCACTCAGAAAAATAGATAAATCACCCCAAATTGCTTAACACGATTTTATTTCTGGAACTATACGTGCAAATGAGCTGACATTTTCAGGGATTGTAGTCCCTTTATTGAGATAAAATTCAGTGAAAATTTCAGCTTTCTATCTATAATAGAAAAAAAGTTATGCCCTTCTAAAGTTCTCGAAAATCTAAATCATAAGGTAATCTTCTTACTAAAACGATGAAATTTCAATTTTTTTTTTGTTGAGATTTTGTGTCTTAATGGTCCTTTGGGATCCCCCAAACTCCATTTACTAAATTATTCCAAGATATGGAGCCGGAATCTATGAAAAAAGACACTCAGAAAATTGAAAAATTGATAAATCAACCCAAATTGCTTAACACGATTTTATTTCTGGAACTATAAGTACAAATGAACTGAAATTTTGAGGGATTGTAGTTCTCTACTCGGATAAGAATCGCTAAAAATTTCAGCTTTCTATCTGTAATGAAAAAAAAGTTATGACCTTTCAAACTTTTCCAAAATCTAAATCATAAGGTACTACTCACTACTAAAATGATGAAATTTCAAATTCCCCCAAACTCCATATACTAAATTATTCCAAGGAATGAAGCCGAAATCTATGAAAAAAGGCACTCAAAAAACGGAAAAATTGATAAATCACCCCAAATTTCTTAACACGATTTTATTTCTGGAACTATAACTCCAAATGAGCTGAAATTTTCAGGAATTGTAGTCCTCATCTACTGAAATAGGAATCGCTAAAAATTTCAGCTTTCTATCTGTAATGAAAAAAAAGTTATTGTTAAAATAGCCAATAAGAATATTTCTTTAGTTGAGGTTGTTGGTAACACTGCAATGTCAAGGTAGTCAGTCAGCTGATCGTGACAGAGTGTGCTCGTGTTTTTTAGTACGTACAGTCGGAATCATTGCAATTGGCACAAACTCTTTAAAATCCCTCGTATTAAGTCAAAATCCTAACCTATTTAGTGCAGCATTTTGCTATTACTGTGTGTCAGATTTGACACATTACGAGGGATATTTACTATTTACATAGTGTGTGCCAATTACAATGATTTCCACTGTACGTCGAGTATTGTATTTTCCGTTTTCTCTATAATAGAAATTAGACACTTTAAGCAAATCCTAAATTTTTCTACGTATCCGTATCCGCATCCGTAAACGCATCGACTTACGTTGACCGCCGAAAGTCCTTTTAAGCATGGCCATACATTACGTAAGCGATCGTATCCTTAGATGAAACGATTTTTCTAACCTCAAAAAGTGCTGTATTGATTTTGTAGCTGTATTCGTAGGTTTTCCTTTTATCTGTATGTACTGGTTTATGTTATTCAAGTTATTTTAGTGATAACTAAAGCCCATCTTACAATGGACGTAACGTAACCGTAAAGACGTAACATAAGTCAAGCATGTGCACATTTGATTTATTTGCATCAAATATGTTACTGCGGAAACGTAACCTAAGAAAAGATGAGAATAATTCAAATTTTGATTATTCCTGACACTTGATTGGCCCTGAAATTCAAATTTTGAATATTCCCGACTCATAATTGGTTTAGAAATTGAATTTTCGATTATTCCCGGCTCATGATTAGCTTCAAATTTTGATTATTCCCGGCTCTTGATTGGCTTAGAAATTCAAATTTTAAATATTCTTGGCCCTTGATTGACTTCCAAAATTAGTTTTTCAATTTTACCGGCTCTTGATTGGGTTTAAAATTCGAATTTTGATTATTCCTGGTCCTTGATTGGCTCTGAAATTCAAATTTTGATTATTCCTTGCTCATGATTGGTTGACAAATTGAATTTTTGATTATTCTCGGCTTTTGGTTGGCTTAAAAATTCAAATTTTGATTATTCCCGGCTCTTGTGATTGGCTCTGAAATTCAATTTTTGAATTTTCCCGGCTCTTGATTGGGTTTAAAATTCAAATTCTGAATATTTCTGGCTCTTGATTGGCTCTGAAATTCAAATCTTGGATATTCCCGACTCATGATTGGTTTAGAAATTGAATTTTTGATTGTTCCTGTCTTTTGACAGGCTTCAAATTTTGAATATCCCGGCTCTTAATTGGCTTAAAAATTCAAATTTTGAATATTCCCGGCTCTTGATTGGCTTCCAAAGTCAATTTTTGAATTTTCCCGGCTTTTGATTGAGTTTAAAATTCAAATTTTGATTATTGTCGGCTCTTGATCGGGTTAAAAATTTGAATTTCTTAGCCAATCAAGAGTCGGAAATATTCAAAATTTGAAGCCAATCAAAAGCTGGGAATAATCAAAAATTCAATTTCTAAACCAATCATGAGCCGGGAATATTCAAAATTTGAATTTCAGAACCAATCAAGAGTCAGGAATATTTAAAATTGAATCTTGAACCCAATCAATAAAAGTCGGGAAAATTCAAGTATTGATTTTGAAAGGCAATCAATAGCCGGGAATATTCAAAATTTGAATTTTCAATCCAATCAAGAGTTGGAAATATTCAAAATTTGAAGCCAATCAAAAGCCGGGAAAAGCTAAAAAATTCAATTTCTAAACCAATCATGAGCCGGGAATATTCAAAAATTGAATTTCAGAACCAATCAAGAGCCAGGAATATTCAAAATTTAAATCTTGAACTCAATCAATAAGAGTCGGGAAAAATCAAAAATTGATTTTGGAAGCCAATCAAGATCCGGGAATATTCAAAATTTGAATTTCAGAGCCAATCAAGAACCAGGAATAATCAAAATTGAATTTTAAACCTAATTAGGAGTCGGGAAAATTCAAAAATTGACTTTGGAAGCAAATCAAGAGCCAGGAATATTTAAAATCTGAATTTCTAAACCAATCAAGAGCCGGGAATATTCAAAATTTGAAGCCAATCAAGAGACAGGAATAATCAAAAATTCAATTTCTAAACCAATCATGAGCCGGGAATGTTTAAAATTTGAATTTTGAACCCAATTAAGAGTTGGGAAAATTCAAAAACTGGCTTTGGAAGCTAATCAAGAGCCGGGAATATTCAAAATTTTAATTTCTAAGCCAATCAAGACCCGGGAATGATTAAAAATTGAATTCCTTAACCAATAAAAAACTGGGAAAATTCAAAAATAAACCAATCAAAAGCCGAGAATAATCAAAATTCAAACTCCCAAACCAATCAAAAGCCGGGAAAATGAAAAATTCGAATTCCAAACCCGACGGGAAACTAAATTTTTTTACCAAATGCTGCTACAAACGAATTCAATACATTTTCATATAACAAGTGTTGCTACATAAAATCTCACCCTAAAAACCCACCAAAATGGACCAACCCCTAAACGACTTGTAGCTACACTTTCCCTCGTGTTGCTACACTTTTTCTTTTTTAAAAATGTTCCTACATAAGTTCATTGAAGTGTTGCTGTAAACTCACTAAAAACTACTCCCAACGATTGTGTTGCTACACTTTTTTTTTCGTGTTGCTACATAAAAAATTCAACAAACTCTTGCCCTGAGCAAAAACTATCCCACAAATGACTTGTTGCTACACAAAAATAAGTGTTGCTACACTTTTACTCAGGACGTGTTGCTAAATTTTTTCCCCTTAGTGTTGCTACACATTTTGATCTTGTGCTGCTACGCAAATGAAGTGTTGCTACAAAAGTAATTAATTTGAATTTTGCCCCAAACCTACTAACGACTTATTACTACAGCAAATCCAGTGTTAATATTACCTTGCATTTTTTGGGACTTACACCTCAATTAAAATTAATACCAATAATTTCAATTGAGGTGTAAGTCCCAAAAAGTGCAAGGTAATATTATAAATCCACCTCAAACATACAGACATTTGTTACAAATCCAGTGTTGTTACAAAAATATTGCTACCCCCGTAATTCCTAAACCACTCGTCCGATTTCGACGATTCTTGCACCAAATTGAAGCTGATCAATTTACCTCCGACTTGGTGAGATCGATGAGGCTGGCCTCGGTGAGGTTCTCCGAGGACCGTTTCTCATCCTCGTCGACACCCTTGTCCTTGTACACCTTCACCTTATCGGTGCTACCGAGATCATCGCCGCCGTCGACGAACGAGACGTGTGGCATGATTTACTTTACAAAGCGACACCGCGATATCTCTTATATTACGTTGCGTTTCCGGTGACATATTTGACGCAAATAAATCTAATGTGCGCATGCCTACGACTTATGTTACGTCTTTACGGTTACATTACATCCATTGTAAAATGGACTTAATAAGAAGATCTCTCAATAGTGTCAAATGATTGAGATACGTTTCCAGATCGGATACGAGGCTAGGCCCGTAACGATAAGGACAACGCAACGTAAGGAAACCACCGTATCTATTTTACGCATGCGCAGATCGATGCGGATACGGATACGTTTAAAATTCAGGACCTGCTTAAAGTGTCTGTTATTAAACATTATTTCCGTATCTAAAGTGTTTGTTTATTGACTCAATTTCCAACTGCGTAACAGGTTATGGGCCCAGTGGACTGTCAAATCGGAAAAATCGTAAACAATAACGGATTTTAGTTGAGAGGTTATGAGTCGGCGAAATTAGGTACGATAAGGTTCTGTAATATCGATAGTAGAAGTGACGGACGGTTAATCGATAGTTAGTCGCGTCGATAGTTGTTGGTGCGAAATACCCGGTTTTGGGACAGTAAAATATACCCGGTATAGGGGAAAGTTAGTTCGAAATTTGAATATACATATCATATAAGTAGTTTTCATTCTGATTTCTTAGGGTAGCGGTCAAGAAGATTTCATTATGACTGACTTTGGCAGAAAGTCGACAAACAAAGTCACATATCCTATAAATAAAGGGGCGGTGAAGCGATGTGTGTTAGGTGATTGTAAAAGTGATAATCGAACGAGTTCCATAACTTTTCTTAACTTTCCGAAGCCCTGCTTGGGTGTGAGGAAAGGTCTAAGGTCATCAAAAAGACTGTGTTTTGTGTAATAAGTGTAGCTTGTGGCTGTTTCATTGTCAACGTGAGGATTACTGTAAACTTGGAAATGTAAAAAATGGCATTACATGCGTGTTCTATGTTTCGCACAGAACATGTTTTGTTTGTCTACCCGTCTATTGATAGACTTCGCATTTGACAGTCTCGGACATGCGTCATGCAGACGATGAAAGTTTTTATTGGCCGGTCAAGATTACCATTCCATCTACTTATTATACATATTATATGTAGTACATTCGGATTATCCGAGTTTTCAGTTATCCGAGGTGGGTAACCCCCACATTACCTTGGATAACCAGGGTTCTACTGTAACTAAATTAGCAGAAGACAACTGGATTAGCTGGGAATTCCAGATTCAGATAGCGTTGAAATCCAAAGCCTTGTTTACAATAGTCACAGAGCAATCTGCTAGGCCAATAACAAGGTCAACTGAATATTGGGACAAGAAGGATGCAAAAACACAAGAGATTATAGTGTCCAGGCTGGAAGATAAAATTGTAAATCATGTTCTTTCTTGTAATACAGCAGCTGAAATGTGGGAGAAGCTCAAGTTCATATATGAATACCAGTCCCAGCTGAGTGTCCATGTTACATTATCAAAAGTTTATCAGTCTTGAGTATAAAAATTTTGGTGTGGCTAACTTTATATCACAATTAGAGGACATAAAGGGCCAATTGAAGCTTTTGGGTGAAGACTTAAGTGAGAAAATGTTGATAACCAAAGTGCTTATGTCTTTGCCTGACAACTTGAAGCATTTTATATCAGTATGGGAATCTACCAGTAGCACTAACCAAAATTTGACTGAATTAACATCCAGGTTCATGATTGAAGAAGAAAGGTTTAATAAAGAGCCTCATGCAGATGCTTTATTTTCCAAGTTCAAGGGGCAAGGACAAGGTGGTCCGAAATGTTTTCTTTGCAAAAAGTCAGGTCATTTTAAGAAAAATTGCCGTCGTAATAAGCACAGAGAAGATGACAGGAAAAATGGACTAAAGTGTCATAAACAGGGGCATGTTATAGCAGACTGCTGGTTTAGAAAAAGGAATGATCAAGGAAATGGTGGAGATACAAGTAATTCACAGGGTTGCATGTCAAATGCTTTGATGGGTGTACTTGAATTAATTAACACTCCAGAGGTATTATCGTTGATTGAAGATGCTAAAATAGAGTAAAGAGATTGGTGCTTGGATAGCGGAGCCAGCGATCACATGAGTTATAATAAAAACCAGCATGAATCTATGAAGATGATCCAAAGCAGAATGGTGAAGATTGGAGGTGGCTCTTACCTAGAGGTGAAAGATGCGGGGAAAATTAAATTAGAAGCTTGGAATGGTAAAAGTTGGATATTTGAAAATGTTAATATGTTCCCCAATTGAAAATTAACCTATTCTCAGTTGGAAAAGTATTGGATAAGGACCTGATCATGAAGTCAGACAGAGACAAGTGTGAAATTGTTAACACAGAAGAACAAATACGAGCTCTAGCAAAAAGGCAAGGTAAGCTTTTCAACATGATTTTTAGAAATGCTGATACAGGCTATGCATTTTTATACGGGGAAATAGACGAGAGGTCTATATGTGGAAGGTAAGTGATGCATGGCTTTACTTGGTAGGTACTTACCAATTGTAGCATAATCAGCTGGGATCGAACCTCCTGCACTTTCAAAAATCGTCGACATAAAGAAGATAACAGCATTGACGCCGCTCAGTTGTTGGAACGTCATAAGGCCGAAACAAATAAAAAGAGCTTTTTTTGCTGCCCTAGACTGCAAGGCTTGTACGAAGGGAACCTGAAATATTTTCCTAATATATTTTAATTGAGAAAATGGCCAGTAATTTACCTTTTCTCGTTCGTTTTTATCCAACTGTTCTTGTAATTCCCGGATTTCTTTTTCGCTATCGTACGCTGCCCCTCGCAGTCTTTTGAGACTCTGCAAAGCAGCTGTACGGTTTCCTTTTTTGAGGAGATATAACTGGAAAATAATAGGGAAGCTTAAACTATTCAACCAATGGTTAAAGTAAATAGTCCTTTGAGATGAAATGTTAGAATACTAGGCTAATGAAATAGCTTGAACTTGGATTCTTTTGTACACGAATACTTACTGGTGTTTCAGGTTGAAAAAAGAAAACAATTCCAAAAACGATAGGAATAAAAGCACATATGATTGATAATATTTTTGGTGAACATATGGCTCCGAAAACGTATGAAAATAGGATTCCAACGGTGAGCAAAAGTTGGAAATAACTTCCCAGGGCTCCTCTAATTTCTGTCTCAGCAATTTCGCTCGTGTAAAGGGGGGCGGCTACGCAAAAAGCTCCACCTAAAATAGAATCAAAGTATAAAGATGTAATTATTCTTCGAGATGATTGTTCCTTGAATTGTTTTCATTAAAAAATAATTTTATTCCTTTGAAATACAATTCCTTGCTTTCTATAGCAGATCATTATTCTGAAGTTATTGAAATTAAGAGTTTTCATTTTTGTTTATCAGCAACTGGAGCGATTTTAATAAAAAGAGAACAATATTGATACCTATCATGCATTGAGGTTTCATATTTCAATTTCTTTAATGAAATGTTAACCGAGACAGACAAGACTTTAACTCACTGGTCCCTAAAAAAGGACGATAAATGAGTCTTGTTTATAGCTACGATAACTGCCAAAATCAAAACTAAATTTCCAAAGAAACAAAAATCTGTCAGGCATGTATATGTTCTAATCAAACATAGCTATGCCAGTAATTTGCTTTCAAAATATCAAAATTACCTGCCAAGCCAGTTAAAAACCTTCCAATGTAAATCATGGTTGAACCATTTGAAAATATCACCAAAGCCCAACCGGCGGAAAAAGGAATAATAGTTAGGAGACAGGCCCATTTTCTACCTATCCAATCACAAATCAACCTAAAATGCAATTAAGTCAAATATGAAAAAATCCATCGAAGATATATAATTTACCCGATTGGGAAACACATGAGCATCGCTCCAAGAGTAGCAAATCCAGAAATCCATCCCAAAACATTGTCATCTACCTCGATGCCATTGAGTTTACTTTCTTTTAAGGCTTTCGAAATGGTACCGGTCCAACCCAAAATGGTTCCAGCAGCTACTGAACCCAGACATACTGAAAAGGAAGACTTTAGAGAAATTTCCTATTATAATAAGTTTCAGGATCTTACCTGACAGGGCCGCCAAATACTGCGGTAACTTCTTAGCGCTTGTACCCGTTGTAACGTCCATTCTGTTCTAGAACAAAAAAAGTCTAATAACTTATTTGCAGCTTTGAAAGATTATGGAGGATTTCTTGGTGCTTATCTTGGTTGAAATTATTTGCTAATTTTGGATATCAAATGGTTAGTGGGTTTTTGGTGTCAGAAATGGTAATTTTGAACACATTTACATACAATTTCTGCATCTAATTCGACTTTTTCGATAATCAGTATGACAGTAATTGCAGATGGTTCATCATCGTTTGATGAACCATGATGACTTTTCAATTCAAGGAGAAAAGGATAAAGGAGATGAAGAAGAATTGTAAGTATGAAGTATTAAAGTTGATGAAGGACAGAGAATCTTTTGAAAAAAAATGAAGTTTTGTCAGTTATAACAACCATAAAGCGTGGAAATTGAAAATGAAGAGGAAGTTAAGGAAAATTGGAAGATTAAAAATTTTGGACTTGGGCGGGATTTGAACCCGCATCTTCAGCATTGCCGGTGCTACGCTCTAACCAAAGAGTTGAAGTCTTTGGTTAGAGCGTATTCAAACGCAATTCAAAGATCTTTATTTTGAAATTTCTCAATTTTACATTACAGCCAGAGGGGATAGGCCCTCCTCAAACTATATATGTACAACATTAACTTAAAACTAGGACAGGACTTCTTAAGACTAATTGCAGCGTGCGCAGCACGCTGTGCTCACATACTCGCCTAGCGAGGTGTGGGTACTTTAGCCAGGTCGATGTTATTGACCGCAAACCCCTGTTCCTATTCTTTTTATTTAAACTCTCCACGACATTCTCCGGTTGCCCTTTAACGTCAATTATTTGACCCTGAGGTCGCTGGTGAATACCACGGATGGCGCGCACTAGGTCATTACACTGACTTGTCTCGAGAATAAGGGTGGAACAGTCAGAGTTGAAGTTGTAGAGCGCGCAGCGCTCGTTTTGTGGGGAAAAAGCATAGAAAAACCTCACTTTTCATTCATTTAAGGTTATAAACAAAAAACAAAAAAGTTGTGTCCTTGAGCGATCGGGTTCACTGGGCGCGTCCTCACTAGCAATTGTGAGCTTCGGGTATGTGCGCGTGAGCGCGGGTACGGGTTGAATGTGTTCGACAGCCCTGCACCCTGACCAATCCTGGGACTTGATGAGTCTCTAGGTTGGTAATGGTTTTGGTGCAGGTGGGGAGGTTTGTAAGGGATGTCAGAGAATGAGGGTTGAAAGGATTGGGTGCAAAAATTTACTGGGATTGGGACATGCGTTTTTCAGCTAAACTGGGCAATTTGTGCTGTGGTTGTTGGTCAGATTGGGGTGTCTGATGTTCAATTAGAGTGGTTTCCTCATAGTCAGCGAGAGAGGAGGTTGTCACACATTAAATCGCTGACTAGTTAGAATTTTCCGAAGAACTAAGGGTAGAAATTAGACCTTGACGGGATTGCCAGAGTCTCCTGCTTCAGACTAAGGCTATTAACGCTAGCTAGTCTAATTTTGTCTTGACGTTAGACTTCAGCTGTGCATTCAAGAGGGTTTTTGTTTGGGTGTATGAATAGCAGGATTGGGATGCGGAGGTGTTCATTGGGGTTCAAAATAGATTGGTAAACTCTTGTATGGTGGACCGTGAATTATGGGGTTGTCTGGATCATATATCGTTGCAATCATGCATGTTAGAGGGGAGCCTTGAACTTCGTGCCTATAGAATTTTTCGCTGATTTCATCCAGGTAGTCAGAGATATAAGGAATGCATGCTTGCGCATGCATGTCCCTTATTCTGGCGTACCTGGATTCCGACAGCACTTCCCTCAAGATGCGGTTCTGAAAACGTTGTAGGCGGTTTCGCTTAGTTGTGGAGATTATGTTCCAGACAGGGGCTCTATATGTTAGCATAGGTCTTATGACCTGTTTATATATGAGTAACTTATCACCTGGTAATAGGGGAGAGTTGGGGCCGATGAGGGGGTAAAGTTTTTGCTGCGCACTGAAGGTGCGAACCAGAACATGGAAAACGTAGTGATGGAATTTTCATTCTCTAATCAAAAAGGGTTCCTAGGTATTTCGCCTTTAGGGACAGAGTGACTGGGATGTTATTTACGATAAGTGAGGTGGGCTGGTGGGATTCGAACCCGCGTCTTCAGCATTGTCGGTGCTTCGCTCTAACCAAGTAAGCCACCACGACACTACAGATCTTTTTGTTTTTTGTTTTGGTGTTATTAGAGGAAGTTGCATGGTTCTCCGTTAGGTACTAGCTGACATCACATACATAACCTCACTTCGTTGGGGGGACAAACAAAGCGTTTGAAAGGTCCATTAGGCATTCCAGGTCACGTGACTTTTGACAGGTCCGCTGGGGGGCAAACAAAGCCTAGATCAGTATTTACACCGTTCTTTGAGATTGTGTTTCCGAATTTTTGCGTTCTTAAATTCTCTCAATAAGTTTTAAGTTGTTTTTGTGGTAGAATGGCTGACATTGACTATTATTCATCGTTAGCTAGTGATGTGAAATGTCGGTATGACCAAAAAATACAAATAATTGCCAATATAGATCCTTATAAACTTCTACCTAATGAGTTTACTTTAAGTATCAATGAGTTGCCAGAGGTTTCAATTTTGGATTTATCCGAATATTTGACCCACACCCACAGTTACTACACAGGCTTGCAGTTGAAGGCGTATATAAAGGGTTATTCAAGTTCTGCTGGTATTAAAAGTAAATATTACTTGTAGAAACAAACCAATTTTTCAATATAAATGTGTTTTTGTATTTTAACAAGACAGTCATAATACTTACCATTAACAAAATGTTTTGAACAAATACGAGCATTTTTCAGAAACGATTCAGTTAAATCTCTCCTTTTGAGGCATTTAATCCACAGATTTCGTCGTTCCTTTTTTAGCTCGTTTAGACGATTCCCTGATCTCTTAATGCTGCTGGGATCCTGAAAAACCTTTCTTTATCTCTTTCCGCTCTACTAGAGCACCTAACAACGCAGCAAATAGAAGGCATCTTCACAAAATAGATTGAAAATTCTTGGTTTAACATTGAATCAGGTTATGTTTGGCTTTTGTGTGCCCCCCAAATTAATATGGCGGATCGGTTATGACATTAACCTGGAATGCCTAATACAGGCGCTAGCTTGTCACAAATGACATAACGTGACTTTCGTTAGGGGGACAAACATGTCATTGCAGTTATGTGTGAGACGTCAGCTAGCACCTAATGCGATGCCCACATAAGCAATGTTGAAAGAAAATGATGTTTTGTCAACTACGACAACCGGAAAGCGTGAAAATCCTTTGTTTTCTGTGTGGTATACAGCCGGATTGAGAACGGAGTACGGGACTGGAGCAGGGTATACGGCCCACTTTGTAGCCTATCAATATCCCTAGGAGAAAGCTCAACCATATTCCAAGCGGAAATATTCGCAAGCAGCCCTATACTTAACGGCTGTAAAAAAAGCCAAATCCCAGAAACATTATAGGTTTTGATCTGAGAACCCACTAGATACAAGGGGAAGCACAATAGACCTAATCAGATAACAGTGAGGAGAGGTCCATAGGTCCATAACCTAAACATCCCAACTATCACAATCTTCTATTTGGACAAGAATCTTTCTCTATATCTGAAGCAATAATTGCATATGGATGGAAACAAAAACCAAGAAATATTTTAAAGAAATCACTTTGTATTGAAGGACTAGCAAAATTCAAATAGCTGTTGAGAGTAGGAACTGATAAACCGACGACTAATCAACAACTTTGTCAGTTTGAATGATTTCTTGTGTATTATACGCTAAGGTTCGGACATTTGGAATACCCGAAATATAGTTTCGAAGATTTATTTCAAGCTACACTCAACAACGTCACTATATTTGTCACCCCTGCTCTGTCATACCACATGACTGGTAACTACCTGACATTCTAACATCCTTCTTTCTCTAGAAATTATAGATAATATTGACGAAAATAAAAAGCAAAACTTGAGCGGTCAAGATTCTGATTTATAATTTCTTTCAATTTTATAGATTGACCAGTATTATTGGCTGTCAAGTTCAAGTTCTGCTCTTTCTCATCTGTCCTTTGCGAATCTGAACCAGATCCAACCACCTCAAACTTCTGTCTAGGCGATGTCACTATATCCAGAGATATTATATCTGACATATATAGTGACGGAATGAAAGTTGAGTTTAGCTTGAAATAAATCTTTAAAACTGTATTTTGTTTATTCCAAATGTCCGAATCCTACATGGCGCTGCGGACAGGATAAGTTGTGAAGAAGATTTTTTTTTTTTTTACAAAATACGTGAATATTTCGTCGTAAAGAAAGTTAAGTCAAATTCGTTCTTAGCCCCACGTTTCCTAATTAAAATAAGATGGAAACTTTACGAGAACCCAAAGAAATGTCTCTTGAGAGTGATATCCCCACAAATTTTAAAAAATGGAAACAGCAATTCACCATTTATATAGATGCCTCTGGTTTGAAAGATAACATAAAGGTAAGAGCTGAAAGGAGAGCTGCTATTTTGCTACATACAATTGGAGCTGAAGTACTAGAAATGTATGACACACTAGAGATACCTGATGATAATAAGAAAGACTGGCAAAAATTATTTCATCATTTTGAAGTACATTTCAAACCAAAAGAAAATAAGACACCTATTTCATTTCATCCTAGAAAGCAGTTACAAGGTGACTGAAAGTGTTGATATGTTTTTGACTGACTTAAGAAAACCAAGCCAAAATTGTAATTTCGGAGATCTGGGAGATATTTTGGTTAGGGCAGGTATTATAAAACTGCTTTGACAGTTAACTCAAAGTTAACTTTTTGAATTATATGTAATTCCAGGAGTTAACCTTAAGTTAACTCTCAAAGTAGTTTTATAATACCCGCCCTTAGAGATAGGATTGTATGTGGAATAGAGTAAGAGATAGGTTGCCAAGAGAGCCTCAATTAGATTTGACAAAATGTGTGTGAATATCTGTAGAGCGTCGGAGTTAGTTGAACTTCAATCAAAAAAGCTAGAAATTGAGACAACTGTTAATATTGTGAAGAAAGCACAAAAATCAGGACAATACAGAGAGTTCAAATCACAAAAAGATCAATATGATGCCCGAAATCAAAGTGGAAATAGCTTTAGAACAAACTCAGAAAATAGAGTTGATAAAAAAATAGTGTGGCAATTGTGGATATTTTCATATATAGAACAATGTAGAGCGTGTAATAAGTTTGGTCATTTTCAAAAATACTGTCATGAAAAAAGTAACATAACTCAAAATGTATATTCAGTAGATGATGAAGAGCAGGAAATGTTTATAGGCACAGTTCAGAAATTAGGACAAGAAGGTTTAGTTGGCTGGATACAAAAAGTAATGGTCAATAATAAGGAAATTTGTTTCTCAATGGACACTGGTGCTGATGTTAATGTTTTGAACTTGAGAACTGCTAAAGAACTGAATGCTGAAGTTCAGTCACCCAATACAAAGCTATTGAACTATGCAGGCTCTTCAATGGGTATTTATGGACAAACTACACTTATCTATGAAAATTATAATAAAAAACACAATTGTAGTCAACTTTAATGCTCCATGCATAATTGGTCTGTCATTTATTGAGATGTTTAATCTGCTAAGGAGAGTAGGATCGGTAGAACAGGAAGACAAATATGTGATTGATAGTCTAGTAAAAAAATACCACCATATTTTTCAAGGCATTGATGAACTGACAAATTCATATAAAATTCAGTTGAAGAAAAAGGTAGAGCCAGTTGTAGAACCTTCAAGAAAAATTGCAATCAGCCTTCAGCAGTCAGTTAAAAGTGAACTAGATGAAATGGAGAAAATGGGCGTTTTGTGAAAAGTTACTGAACCAACTGTGTGGTGCAGTTCTATGGTCATTGTAAAAAAGCCAGACAATAGTCTTCGAATTTGTTTAGACCCAAAAAATCTGAATAAAGCCATAGTACGTGAATGGTATCAGCTTCCAACTTTTGAGGAAATTGCATCCAACATGGAAGGGGCAAATATTTTTTCAATACTGGACGGCAATAAGGGCTTTTATCAGAGTTGCATGAAGAAAGTGAAATACATACAACATTTAATGCTGGGTGTTATGGGCGATATTGTTATAGGAGAATGCCTTTTGGACTGTGCTCTGCTCCGGAAGTTTTTCATCGTACATTCAAGAATATTTTTGATGGACTCTCAGGAGTGGAAATTTACATAGATGATGTTTTAGTCTGCGCAGCGAATAAAGAAGAACACGCCAAAAAACGAAGCAGAGTTAGACAGAGCTAAACGTGTCAATGTTCGTCTCAATCGACTCAAGTGTAAATTCGGGTTAAGTGAAGTACGTTATATAGGTTATGTGTTAAGTGTTTACAAAAAATGGTGTACGTCCTGATAAAGACAAGGTGAGTGCTATTTTGCAATTAAATAATCCAAAAAACAAAAAAGAACTACAGATTTTGCTAGGAATGGTTACCTATGTACCTATCTAAGTTTTTGCCCAATTTGGCGGATGTTACCAGCTCAATGAGACAACTGCTTAAGAAAGATGTGGAGTTTATTTGGTCTGATAAAGAAACATCTGATTTTGAAAAAGTCAAAAAAATGCTCACATGTGCACCCGTACTAAGATATTATGATGTCAATACAGAGGCTGTTTTGTCAGTTGATAGCAGCAGCCAAGGCTTGGGGAGCTGTGCTGTTACAGAATAATTTGTCTGTAGCCTATGCCTCTCGAGCATTGACTGTTACTCAGAAGGCATGGGCTCAGATTGAAAAAGAATTATTGGCAATAGTGTACGGATGTGAGAAATTCCACCAATATGTTTATGGAATAGTAGTGGTGGTTGAAAGTGATCATAAGCCTTTGATTTAAAAAGTCATTGAATGACACACCATTGAGATTGCAGAGGCTTAGGTTGCGCTTACACCCATACAATATTGTAGTTCGTTATAAACAGTAAAAATTTAGTTGCCTGCTCTGTCATACCACATATTACTGGTAACTATCTGAAATTATACCATTACTTTAGCAGTGCAACTTTGTTTGAAACAGTATGCAAAGTACTGCTGTAATATTTACACATGTAGTTTCGAGAAAATTTTCAGAAACCAGTACATACAATAATTATCAATGACAAAAACCTAATTTACCAGACAAGCAACAAACATTTCATCTTCTACACTTTGTTTTTGCTTGAGAATTGAAAATTGGCTTTTCGACTGAAAAGTAAAAAAACTGTAGACATAAACAATGGGAGAAAATATATTATTTTTCATTAGTCAGTGTTTGGTGGAAAAAAAAACCATCAAACCTCATCTTTTATGTTTATTTTGAGCTCGACTCCCGAATCCAAATTTAATCAAGTGTCTTTGAAGGAAAACACAACAAAATAGAACAGTTTGGATATTAGAATGCCTGAAAGTCCATGAAAATACGCCGTCTTTTCACAACTTATCAAGTAGATACATTTAAATTAGCTTATCTTTAGGCACTTACCGAAAACATTATATTTTGTACACGATTTTCTATTATTATTTTTTTCACTTTCCCATGAATATTTTTCCGTTTAACTTTCCTTTGTGTTTTTGCTGTGTCGCTCGAAGTAGAACTAAAATCGGACGCTGACAAATCAGAAGAAGAACTGCTTGAAATCATCGCATTCAAAGAAGTTTGATAATATTATTTACGTTTTTGAAGTATTTGCTATTGATAATGTAAGTATCAGTTCGAATTCTTTCTTAGTAATATCAGAAAATTAAATCGGTAATAATGTTTGTTTGCTCAAACTACTTACAACGTAATCATAAAACTGGAGATACCATTTTTGGGAAGGGTTTACTAATGTTACAAGTGGGTTAGAAAGGCATCATTATTATATAATCAGAGTGTGCTAAATCTATGACATTAGAAAACTTTGATAATTTCATCTAAGATTACTTCTAAACTACCAAAATCAAAATTGCGATACTTGAAATACGTTGAAAATGTTTAAAAAATGCTGTGTCAAATCGTCGACTACAATCAATGTTTATTTATCAAGTGCTTTTGAACTAATAATTACCTAATTAAATATTGTTTCATTAAATATTTTGGAAAGTCTGGCCACTTACACTTATAATTAGCTACTTTATCCAAGATGATTACTGTCAAATAAAAATTAAAAAAAATATACAAATCTTGTTTTGTCGATTTTAATTGTGTTGTACTTTAATAATCAGCACACACAATAATGCGGTATAAAGTGTACTTAAAGCCTTATTATCAATTTTTGAGTAAGTATTTGAGAATGTTTGAAATTTACGATTGATGATCCAAGTTGTTAAAAGTAGCTCTCAGGTCCTAAATCAAAAATCATTATTGATGATGTTTCTTTTGGTTATATTAACTTGATTCTTAATTTGTCTTTAAACATCGGGATCTTCCTTTGAACTGAGACGGTCAAGATACAAGCTGTACAAAGCTGAAACGATTTTATTTATGTCAATTTCTTCATTCCTCATCGGCATGATTTTGATGGCACGTCTTTGCTTTTCAGGCCTTCGATAATTTTCTATTATCGCCTTGTTGTTTTTCTTTATGTCTTTACACAATAGTTGTTTGTATTATTTTATCGATTTCTTTATATTTATTTTGTTACCACCGCAAGAAGACGTCTCCTTTGCCTCACCAATTTCCTTGTTTCAGCGCTTACAGGGTGTCCCAGCCGAAAGTGAACCATTTTAAATGGTTATTACTTTTAAACCAGGTGTGCTAGCTACTTGCGGTTTGCGCCATTCGATTTCTCTTGGTCTAAAGTTTTTTCTAGTAGGTTGCATATTTTTGTGAAACTTATACACGACAAGTGAAAAAAATTAGTTTTTCAACATCAAAATTCTCCACTATTTTTAATTGAACACCCTGTATATCACAACGTCAAAAAAAAGATTAATATTCAAGGTATCTATGTATAGTCATATTCACGAGAGAGTTTGAATTTTGACCGTTATTTTCACCAGTTGAAAATAAATAAAATCCCCAGATCTGTCCCTTTTTCTGACAACTATCAAATAATGATACATGACATTTTGATTTGACACATAAAAATAACAGATTCGGGTCTTTGAATTTTGAATTTCGAATTTTTGTGCGAAATCTTTCAGTTTTTTGCCGTTTTCTGCATTATTTTTTTATTTGTTATTATCGCAATCGGTTTTTTGGTTTTTTATGTAGTGTTCTGTGCCTTTGTGTTTCGGTGTTGCGTTTCAAACCTGGTTTTAGTATGGATTTAAGTGTTTACTGTTATTATAAGTGTTTACTTTGGACTCTAATTTTAGGATTTTTGGATTTCAATAACTTAACTTCCTTTAAAGAAATTGAAAATAAATTTTTATTCTGAAATGTATATCACTTTTCTAAATACGACCCTGTCGTTTATCCCAGCTGACGGAATCGAAGCGCTAACGCATGCTGACAACCTAAAGAAAAAGTTTACTAAAAATGTCAACGCGAACTGTCAACTTCACTTTCTATCGTGATTTAGTCTATACCAATAGACATCGTCCCTAAAACTTGAAGTTTTAGAGGTAAAAAATCAAAATCGAAATCTTGGTATTTTTGCAAACTCATGCAACTTCATGTTGTAGTTACTTGATATCACTATGACGGAAAATTTTGTAACTGTCTAGTAATATATCAATTAAGTTAAAATACAATTTTCAAGAAAATTTTACGAGTTCCAGAGTATTTTCTCTGGAACTCGTCAAATAGAGATACCCCAAAAGTAACAGTTTGGTGTGCAATCTCTATTGAGAAAAAATACATTTCCATTAATGAACCAACAATAACAGAAATTGTATACACTGATATGTTCTTTTTTCCACAATTAAGACAGGAGGGTATCTTGGATGATATCTATTTCCAGCAGGATGGTGCCCCCACCTCATTATTCTTTAATAGCAAGTGAATCACTGAATATGACATTTGGGGAAAGACGTATATGGAGGTCCTATAGAATAGACACCTTACTCTCCTGACTTCTTGAGAGTTCCAGACTTTCTTCTCTGGAGTTATGTCAAGGAAAGATGCTGTAATCCTTTGCTCAAATAGCCTAAAAGATCTTAAGCGGAACATTTGTCATTGAAGCGATTCCCCAGGAAATGTTACACAAGTCATGGAACAGAATGGTTAACATATACATATACAGCATTTTGTATAGTTTTATGCAGTTTTTATTAACTTTTTATTGGGCAAACATAAGTTCCAAGCTTTGTAAATATGCGTTTGCAAAAATACCAAGATTTCGATTTTGATTTTTCACGGCTAAAACTTCAAGTTTTAGGGACTATGTCTATTCGTACATATGGATACCTTGAACATTATTCTTTTTTTTTGACGTTGTGATATACAGGGTGTTCCATTAAAAATAGTGGAGAATTTCAATGTTGAGAAACGGATTTTTTTTACTTGCCCTGTATAAGATTCAAAAAAATTTGCAACCTACTAAGAAAAACTTTAGACCAAGAGAAATCGAATGGCGCAAACCGCAGGTAGCTAGCACACTTGGTTTAAAAGTTATAACCATTTAAAATGGTTGACTTTTGGCTGGGACACCCTGTATAGAAAGATTTCTATTTTTCTTCTTTGCTAGTTCCTTGTTTCATCTACCATTTATCATGTTTATGCCATCTTCTTAGTAAAAAGGTAAACTTCACTCTTTGGTTGAACAACAGGACACAGCTAGAAATATTCTTTCTAACTTCATTTTGATATGGAAATAAGCTCGGAAATAAGACATAGATACTCAGATATCTATGGATGAAGATGATAAAATCAGTGAGTCATCAAGTCGAAAAAGCTGACAGAATTAAACATGAAAGAGAACATCGAAACATAGAAAAAAGCTGTGTGGAAAAAGAGGAAAACACTTTGCTGGAATCAAGACCATTTCACATAGCTACCTATTTGTTAAAATAAATTATAAATATAATAATTATTATTTAACAGGTAAGAATAAATAGCGACCTTGTTTTTTGTCCATATTTATGAAATTTTCCATAATATTATAAAGTTCTGTTATCAGAATAGCGATTATAGGTAGGTTAGGTACTCTTATTTTTTGTCTACTTTCATTGAAAAAGTATTAATAATGCAGTTGTTATTAGAATTACAGATATTATATTGTGGGTGTGACATATAAATATACCTGCTTACCTATAAACCCATAAAGTGTCTTTCTATTTGTTTATTATTTTAAAGGATGATGCACACTTTAAATGGAATTTTAAAATATCCACGATTTTGATGAAATTTTGGTGTGTTGTAGATCTCGATCTTCTGATCAAAAGTTCTATGGGCCCAAGATGATGATGACTGGTTTCCGAAATACAGTGAAGAGTATGGGGCTACCCAAAAATCCGAGTGAATAGAAATTCTTTCACAAAAGGTAAACTTTAATACAAAAGGTGTTAAAATTAATTGAATCCTATTTTTATAGAACACGTACCTTTGAAATAGTCCCTTATGAACCATTTGTACCGTTTCTTCACTCATGATTAAGAAGATCTATATAAAAAAACATTGTTTCTTTTCATAAAGACAAATAAAGGTGAGGAGCTATGCTGACGCTAACGGTTATTCAAGTAGGTTTAATGCAGAGAAATAATCATAGAATTTTTCAAATAATTATCGGCGATAGGCAATGAAAGTCACTATGTCATAAGTGGCCGACATTACTTTCAAAAATTTGGTTTCCAACATTCTAGGATAAGTAATTCATAAGTACCTACATATATGTTCACAAATAATTTATAACAAGTATTTATTTATTTGAGGAGAAAAACTTGCATAAACCAGCTTTATAAGAAGTGGACATTGACATAAAAATGCTGTAATACATCAAGTCATAAATATAATTCAGAGATCTTTTAGCCTATAACTTATTTAAGGTGTGTCAAACATGGCTAAAGCCTTTTCTACCTGATGAAAAGATTATTTGCATTAATTGAAATTTGGAAAATTTCGATAAAATTCTCCTGACTTACAATAATTATATGTAGTTGAAAATAATCACAGAACTTACCCCCAAAGGATAAAGATGCTACAATTTGAAAACAAAAATCACTTAAGAATAACACAATCTTCTATTGAAAGAAACTAATGAAAAATCCTAATCTAATCGTAAATCAGTTAATTGACTCTAATCACAATGCAATAATAATAAACAAATTTAAACAATCAGACAAGAACTAAAAATCCGAATTTTTATGGCGGTTTAAGGTTTAATTAATAGCTATCTGTGGTTGCGAAATTTGAAAAATAATAACGTGCTTATATAAAATATTGCAATGTCAACTAGAAAAATATGTTGCTGATATTGGATAATTATTGTTGCTCGTTCAAAAACAAATAGTTAATTAATGTAGAAACTTTTATATGGGTTTCATATTTTAGGGGCAAAATATGAATCTTATAGACGGACTGAAAATATTACATTATATTATAACATCATTAGAGAGATATCGGTGAACCAGATAGCGCATATGGACGGTATTAACGTCAGGAGTTATTTTTTTTACGTAAAGCGGTATCATACTTTTAAATTACAGTTATCGGAAAACCGTTTTACGTAAAATTTGCCTATTCGTATTCGTTATTTTATAATCTTAACCCAACTTGTACCTTATTCTGATTTGTCAATGTTGATTCTGTTGTTTATGGTCAGGGTCACAGGATTTGAATTTCCAAGGAATTTTCAATGCTTTTCCATTATTTTTTGAACATAAGTTTAACATAATATAACCTATAAAATTCAACCAGCCCGTTGTCAAAAACCTGCGCATGCCTATTTAAGCATTTTTTAGGCGTTATTCGAAATAGCGCTTAACGTAAATGTTGTGTAAATTACGTTATGCGGTAACGTTATTTCAGTACGTAGTGTTAAAAATCGAATCGCGCATACGTTTAATGTCAAAATAACGTGGGCGCTAATACTGCATGATGCTATTTGGGTTACCGATATCTCTCTAATATTTACTTAATTATCTGGTCATCTGATTTAATGCCAAATATATTTCAGTTTATAAATGAATGAATCAATATACCATTGAAAATAACTACTAATATTTACCAAAATCCAATTAGCACCC